TTCTACTCTGAAATTTCTGCTTTACAGTTTTAATATTTTTCATTAATAAACAACAAAATTGCTACTTTTCTAAAGTAATAAGGATAAAGTTAAAATTTGTGAAAGTGCAAGGATGTGTCTATCAAACGCGTCCAGAAATTCAAAGTTTCAATAACATCCAGATAAAATAAGATTTTTATCAAATTTTCGTATGAAATGCTATAGCAACATATAAGTCATGAAATTATGAAGAAAATTTGAGTAAATATTAACTTCAAATCTGTGTCCAAGCACCTTTAATGAAATTGCATATCTCCCAGAAAGAATTGGTAAAATAATATGATGGTGTCATTCAACGCCTATGAATTGTAATCATATATCAATTATAATATAATTATTTATAACTTTATAATGATATTATTTGTAATGATAATATATATTATAATCTAAATTCAATAATTAAATTAAAAATGCTTCTTGAATAGGGTTGAATCGATTAAGCGTTGAAGAACACAGAGGGAAGAGACAAGCTCCCGACAGGTCAGTATTACGTTACATCTCCATATCATTATTCGTAGGAAATATAGTTCCAGAGAATTGGCACTGTATTTAGAGGGGGTGGGGTAGGGTGGGGGGGGGGTTATTCTACTTATTCCCACTTTTTGAAAATCAGGTAGGAAAAGGTAAGATTTTATGTGGGAATAGGTGGAATTTTTGTGTAAACAAATAATTAACTGTATAAACATGTAATTACCGTATAAACAGTGATTATTAAAAACCTGTTGGAATAGAGGACAGGTAAATTGGCTTTTTATATAAATTAGACTTTTTACTAATAATTTTAAAGAAATATTGGAGGTTTTTAAGCGAATTAAATCATATTTTTCCTGATAATCCATTTTTAAATGCATTTTTTTTCATATATCTTTTTTTATGTTCAAAATTCAAGATATTAAAGTGTTTTTTAAACACGATTTTTATTTTCTAAAATATATTTAATTGAAATAAATCATTTTATCATAAATCTATTTATTTTCTGTCTTAAAATGTACAAAATACAGGTAAATCTTAGATTGGATGTAATTGGTCTAATTATTATAAAAACAAATTAACTAGTATCTAAACATCTATTGTTATTTGCAAGTGGGAATAGGTGGAACTGAGATTTTTAAAAAGTGGGAATAGGTAGAAGACACCGTGGGGGGTTACCACGTCAAGTAAAAACAAAAAGACGGCCGTGGATGTTGGGTGCCAAGAAAACGGGTCAAAATTGAATTCATTCCCATTTTTATTGTTTGTAAGAAATATTAAATTATGAACCTACTTTTTCCCATTACATTTGTTGCATAGGCATAGGTGGTATTAAAAAATTCAATTTACTTTATATGTAGAAGGTATATTGCTCCATAAAAATACTTGTAACATGCAATTGTAATTATCAACAAACTAGTATTTGGGAGGAGGGGTATTTTTTGTTTTGTTTTGCAATTTCATGTTTCAAATTCACGAAATATTAAATTATGAACCTACTTTTTCCCATTACATTTGTTGCATAGGCATAGGTGGTATTAAAAAATTCAATTTACTTTATATGTAGAAGGTATATTGCTCCATAAAAATACTTGTAACATGCAATTGTAATTATCAACAAACTAGTATTTGGGAGGGGGGGGGGTATTTTTTGTTTTGTTTTTGAATCTTTCGATAAAGCTTTCACAAGCAATTAAGCATTTGAAATAATCAACAAATTAAATAGTAGAAAGGGGGGGGTGTCATAAATTCAATGTTTTCTCTTAGATATATCAAACCTTGACTTTGCAATTCGATCCTTTGTCAAGAGTACAGAAAGGTAAATTTACAAAATTCATGAATTTGAAATATTATATTTTTTTTCCCCGAAGAGACATTTATTTTTGTTTGTTATCTATATATGTGGGATATTTACGTGACATTAAACAAACACTTCGCAATTAGGTAATCTTAACTTATAATCAGATTTGAAACTGTTGTTAAAATAAAAAGAAAATAATTTCCTTGAAATAAAAATTATGTCTTTTTGTTTTTACTAATAACCGAATTAAGGACTCTGCATCCCTTTTACAAATGTACTTAAGCTGTTTCATAAATGTTTATAGTTAACAAAATTTGGTGTGGGTTGTCTTAATTATGTAATATTTTTAAAATTTCTTTCATTTCTAGTTTTATATTCATTTTCAATCCACCTCAGCTACTCTAGAACACACGGTGCTACTGATTGACCCAGAAGACAAATAATTTCAACTTCGGAATAGTTTGAAATTTATATATTTACATTTCCAATGTCTTTGTCCGAGATAAAATTACAAATTGTAAAAATACTTTATTTTTACATAAATCTACTGGTTCATCGATAGGCGCGGTTAAAAAAAAATCACGTGCGGGGCGGGACAAATAGAGACAGAAGCGGGGCTATTAGCACGGGAATTTGCAGAATCAGGAGCATGTAAATATAAGGAATAACTGTCAGATTTTTTGGATTCATGACGATGATCAATCGATTGGCTTGCGTGATAATTTTATCACGCAAGCCACTCGATTGATCACATCATGAATCCAAAAAATAAGACAGTTATTCCTTAAATAAATCAGAATTTTCTGTCAAGTGTTTTTAAAGAAATATAAAGGGACAAATATTTGATTTCTGTTTGGTATATGTATGTGTGTGTCGGGGGGGGGGGATCTTGGAATTAAATAAGAAAGTTTTCTTTTAGTTTGGAAACCCCTCCCTGTAACTTGTGTTTGTTTGTCTATTTTTCAGAGAAAGCAAAACTAAAAAAAAAAAAAGTAACCCCTTGTCATCCTAGAAATAAATATATTTTGTCATGTGAAGGCATGATTTTTGACAACATCCCTCCCCCTTCTAGAATCAAATGGCCGTCCCCCGAAAAAATAATCTCTGCCTTCTATTACTTTTACGTGTCCTTAGAATTATAAGCTAAAAAAATCATATAAAGATGAATTTCAAACAACGTGTATTTGTGAATTGAAATTATTTGTCTTTTGGATCATACATTCACACAGGTTTGAAAACAGCTCAGGTGGATTGAAAATGAATTTCAAACTAGCATTTCAATCCAATGTTTTCTTGGACGTCCGTGTCGAATTGTACCCGCCCATTTTATTGTCTATATCATTAAACATTTTGACTGAAACAGATGGAAATGACGTAAGCTGCATATTTCCAATTTTGCCAGTTAATGTTCTGCGGTCTTAATAACTACATACTTTCATGTTTCAAATTCACAAAATATTTTGACTTTTCCACAGGCCGATTTGGCACTATAAATTGAGAATGCGTGACGAGTCAGGTGCTCTTACCATTGAGTTTCCCAGACCGATATACACCACCCAAACCATAACATTCATCCCTCCTTAAATTGTCTTCGCCCTGGAAGACACAACTCAAATACTTAAGCCCCTGTCAGGAATTTCACCTGCAAGTCCAGGTATGGTCAACGCACCAAAAAACAGAAAATGTATGGTTGGACCGGGAGTCGAACCCGGGACCCATGCAGGTCAACTACTGAGCTATCATGGCTGATAGCCACAGCATGAATGTTGTGTTGCGTGTTGATTTTCTTTTCTTAAAACATGATATGCTTAAGAAATAAACAACAATGTTAAAAAGTTCTGTGGGAAATGAACTTGGTTGGTCACGTGATCAAATCCCGTGAAGCCAGAAGGGCTTCTCAGAAGATTTGATCACGTACCAACCAAGTTCATTTCCCAGTGAACTTTTTAACATTCAGGGATCTACATTAACAGTTGTCCGATTGCCCGGGACAAGTAAATTCTCAGTTCGGGCAAGTGAAATTGTCGACGTACCTGTCCGATCGGGCAAATGAATGTTTCTCATACAAATGTACATATTTATTTAGTTTACATTAATTTATAAATAAAACAATAAATTGAACACTTGATTTCCGCCACGCACCTGACTGACAATGTTTTTGCATTCGAAATTCCTTGGTAGCGTTTCTGGATTATACCGCTCATTTAAAAATCGGGTTCGTTATTTTCTTTCATAGTAAATACGCTCTACCTCTGACAAAATTTTGTTAACTTCTTATAGGAAATTAGATTATTTATTCAAGCACAGAATATAAGTACAGTGTAACATGATGTATCCTGATCAAGATAAAGTGCATGTTTCGTAGCATCTTCCTTAAGCATTGCTTCACAGTTATCTCTGAAAATCACGAATCACAAAAGGATCCTACCGAAAATAATTTTTAAAAATAAGAATTTTATTAAAAGGAAACGGAGGGTTATTGTTGCATGCCAGTGTGAGTTAACAAGTTAAATTTTCAAGTACAGCGGTATACATTTCTGTACAAATGCACCATGCATCGACATTTTTTTCAGGTAGCTCAACTTGCCAAATTGACAGTAGTGTATTTGGTCACATTTTTTTTCTTATCATAATTATTTACATTAATTAATAATTTTCTTCTCAAGTTCTTTCCTAGTTTTGGGCAACCAAGTTTAGCATTCGGACAAGTCAAGTCAAAATTTGAGATCACTTGCCCGAAGGGCAAGTGAATCTGAAAGTTAATGTCTATTCCTGACATTGTTGTTTATTACTTTTGAGACGAATTTTCTGAAAAGAAGTGCATTTATTACACGAACAGCCCGCCGTATTGCTATGTTGTGACGCTCAATGACCTATTTGTTGAACGAAAAAAACATATATGTTTCAATAATTTTATCTTTTTCATCGCTTTAACGGTTAGAAGTTCCGAAACCAATGTCACCGGGACAGAAATATGTAGACAAGATATCATCTCGCTGCGTGATTCGGTCACGCCATGACCTCTGATTTTCTCTTCAACAGGTTTATCTAAGAAAAATATTTGCAAATGTAAATAAAATCAAATGACCTGTTTGATCTTGAAAGGAACATACAGATTTAACAAGTAAATGTTGTCTTTTTATTTTTTGAGTTTTGTCTTATTCAGTTACAAATATCGAGATTAATAAGGTTATCAAATGCACCTCAGATTTATTATGAATTACATAAAGTATTAATTAGAATCACTGTCACAGTTACTTTCCTTTTTTTAATGCTACGTTCTAGTCAAAAGAGACGGCGGAGATGTCTAGAAATTAAAACATGTCTTTAAGTTATTACCAATGTCATAGGGTTTTTTTTTTTGGGGGGGGGGGTTAGGTCCTTTGGGGGATGTGCATAGAAAATACTTTGTCACTACATACGATGTTCGAATATCTGGCGCTATTTCTAATACCTAATCTCCGGAGTGTTACATTCTCTAACCATCCGTTGAAGAACCCCTTAATCAATTTCATAATTAAAAGGATTTAACTGTGTTGATCGTAAATTCGCTGATTTGTCAAAAGAACACTTGGATTTAAACAAATCCGTTAAACACTTTCAGCAATTTTTGTCGACCTACAGATCTTTGGAAGCAATTTCACACGTACTTGGCAATTTAAGACTGCTGAAAACAGAGTGACTGGAAAACATCCATAATCACAGAAGAGCAATTCGAAAGGAACACATGGATCTGAACTTCCCTTGAAACAATTTTCTGTATTTGGGTGTCGACATACTTAAAAGATTAAAGAAGCAATTCCATTCTCAAATGCCAGTTTGTAAACTGCTTGAAGCAAAGCCACTGCAAACCATCCGTACTCTCTTAAAAGAGATATAAGTATATCAGTTATCTTCCGTGTCATTAGACAGCTGGAATTTGATTTCATGTTCTACGTGATAGTACCCAGATTCTGACTTTGGTTCGTCCATAGAACAAAGCTGGATACTTTCAATTGTCTGTCTTCCAAAGTAGACGGTCTTCTTCTCTTCATAATGCGTTGGCTCAATTCTCTTTATACCTGATCAAAATAATTCCATATCCATTTACTTCCAGTTTGATCAAAATTTATTTATAATAAATCATAATAATAATCAATGTTTGATAAATAGCCATAGTTGTCTTGCAATCAGCCAACTCAAGAATTTAAAAGGAAATCACCCTTTTCTATCAAATACATACCTTCTCAATTCAATTTGAAGAAAGTCAAACAAGAGCCGCAGAGACCACAATGCTCACCTGAGCCACTATGGCTCTTCATTCTTAACAAGAATGGACAGTTTTTTTTTCAAAAAGAATGAGCACATACAGGAAACTTAATGAATTGTTTGAGGAGTTTCCCTAAACAATAAGGTATAGAATTGACAACATAAACAAAAGGTTTACATCACAATCATGTTTTAAATAACATTATAGAGTATAATATGAGTTTACACATGTATAAACTGAGAAAATAACAACATATTGGTTAAGGTACATCAATACTCTGATAAGAGAGATAACTCTTAATGACATAAATGTTTATTATGTCATGTTGAAATGTCTTTTCTGTCCAATTTTGCACTACAAGGCATGCTATAATTGTTTGTATTTTACTTAAAAAATACATTTCTTTTGGAAAATCATAAGAGTTAAAGGAACATTTTCTATGAGTGAGCAGAGGGTTTATGAACCTTAAATAACAAAATATGAGTTAAATAATGTAGATAAAAAAGCACATCTATAGTAGGCTAAAATGCCTATCAATGCACTATGGCTCTTTAAAGGACAAGTTACCTGATAATTTTCACAATTATACAATGAAATATACACACCTAATTTTCTAAGTTTGGGCATGTTCTTGGACATCTTGCTGATTGTAATGTGAGGCGTGTATCGGTTATCTGCGGTAGAAAATCCATCTGTCTCAAGAGATTTCCTTACATCTTCTACAAGACGAAACATTTCAAGTTTTTGGGAGAAACAGTTGGTCTACGTATAAGAGAATTCTTTAACCCTGATTTTTTCAATGTGTACTCACTAACGAGAGTGTTGAGGTCTTCTAGTCCTTTGTCTTCTGTCACTGATGCAAACAAAACTTTGTGCTTAAAGTGTCCCACATCAGAAACATTTAAACTTGGTGGCGTAAAATTGGAAATCTTCAGTTTACTGTGAAATCTGTCCAAAGCTTCTACTGCCCTGTGAATAAAATTCTTAGTTGAGAGAGAGAGATTCATTTTATTTGGTCACTTTACTTTTTCTGGAGTATTAAGGTATTCAATGTATAAAGAAGGGATTTTGAACAACTTTGAATTGTTTTAAACTAGTTAAAAATACATTGCTAGATAACGATGAAAGTGAAATGAGCCAAATTCACAGGACTGATAACAAATAAGAAGCTGATCATTTTGAACCTGAAAAGTTTTTGAAGAGTTATCTTCCCTTGATGAAAAGAAGAAAATTTTAATTTTGTCAAAATATCTTTGGTAAATGATTCATTTTATTTCATATTTTAATAAAGAGAGGGTCTATGCATATTTTCACCAAGAGATATGTATAAAATTCACATTACTTTTTACAATATCTTAATAAAACATGCGCTGCCCATAGACGTCAATGTAAAATTTAAGGTGCAATTAATTGGACAGTAGTTAAAATTTTGTAAATTCCTTTGGTGGGGTATGTTTATTTCATAACACCTTCAAAATGTTGCCATGATTAATCATTTCGGACCATACATTTATTAGGCCAAAATAAAAAATACCTTTGTTTCCCATAACGCGACCGACCCAATTAAATCCCGCCGACTGAAAAGTTTTTTTTCAAGAAGATTATTCAAATATTTTTTTTTTTAAAGTTTATCAACTTTTATAAAGTACAATTTCATGAAAACCCGTTCTTATCAGAAATTCAGAATGTATTTTCAAAGCTGCTGTCAGACAAAAAAATTATTTACCTACCTACCTACCCAACTTCAAATTTAAGGGTCGGGTTAGGGGAAACAAAGATATTTTTAATGATGGCCTTAGGTACAAAATATGGTCGTTATACATTGAATACCTTAAACATCTATTAGTAGAGAGTATTTATCTTACTGCGCGACCCTGTCCTGATCCTCTAGGTGGTATACCCCCAGTGTGAGATGGAGACTCTCTGTCTTCACCATCGCGTGAGAAAGGTTCTTTTCTTTTTCTAAAATGACCTTCTGTATCTCTCGGACGTTCTGTTTTATCTAAAGAATACAGATAAATAATATGAATACATTATTCTTAATTATCAAGAAAAATAACAATTCTTTTCAAATATCAGCACATAATGTCAAAGTATCAACATTTAATGTCAAAGTATCAACATTTAATGTCAAAGTATCAGCATATAATGATGAAACATCATCACAACATGAATATTATCCGTTCCATATGAATCCAGGATTCCAATTAAGAAAATGGGGAGCCCTAAACTTTTTAAATGTTTAAGGAGAGATAAACACTTTTTTTTCCAAAAATCATGAAAGAAACTCCCGAAGTCGACGTTAGAGAGAAGAGTGAACGGAAAGAGGCAAGTTGACGACCACGCTAACAAACCAACCCTGTTTTCTGCAGACCAGGAAAATCAGCTGATGGGTCACATTTTAGATATGGCTACCTGTGGATTGGGATTGACAATTGAAGACATTTGTACAACTGCACACGTCATGGGAGTAACTTTGAAAATTATTAACCATCCTTTCAGTAAAATCAAAGCAAAAGCAGGATATTATTGGTATGAGGAGTTCATGCATCCTCATGCATACCTTGCCATTAGAAAGCCTGACGGACTCTCAGCAGCACGAGGAATTATGTTAAACAAGCATGTCGTGACGTCCTACTTCCAATTGCTAGAAAATACAATAAATATAGGTTGAAGTATTTGACAGAGATTCTCTAATTTACAATGTTGATGGTAGTGGAATTAAAGAAAGAAAAAATAGAACATCTGAGCAAGAGTCTACTGATGTTGAAATTGATGTTGATGCAGGCCTGACGTCTAGTTCTGTTGTTCGTACAGTTCCATGTGCATCGGGCGGTCCTTTAGAACTAGTCTTCTAAAGGTCCCTTCGTTCGAAAAGAAGAGAAAGTCATCTACAAATAAAAAAATCTCGAAGAATCGCATCAGCACGATGTCTTATAGCAGTTGATGTGATAAAGGAAATTGAACACAAAGAAAACGAAAAGGAACAAAAGAGAATCGAGAAGGAAAAACCATAAGTAATTGCGAGACATAAAGAAGATGAAAAACAAAAAGAGAAGGAACTCAAAGAAGTCGGGAAAAAGAAAAACCAAGGGAAACGTAGGCAAGGAGTATGGAGAAGACTTCTGCAACTATTGTCATGGATATTACTATGACGACGAATCTGACGACGAAAACTGGGTGAAATGCTCTGATAAGGGTTGTTTTGTAATTTATGGTTTCATGAGTCTTGAACTGGTTGTTTTGGAAAAGGGATTGATACATTCAAATGTGATGAGCGAAAAAATGTTTAATTGTAAATGAACTGAATGTTTGTTCAATGGAGTATTACAAATTAATAATTTTATCTGATAAATATTCTGTGTAGAATGAAATAGAGATTTGTATTCAGCTTTTGTAACGAAATCTTATGAATTGTGGAAGTTGCGTAGCAGAACAGAATGTGACTACTTATTTTGCAATACTGTAGCAATATTTCAGAACTGAGCTTTTATCATCTTTGAAAATGATATTTGTCTGTTTGATTGTTAAGAAAGTAAATTATAAAGTCTACTTCAGTCTGATTATCAAAAATAGCAATCGCGCAATGTTGTTGAAGAGTTGTCCAAGTAACCCCAGCATATAGGGGTAATTAAGTCCATTTGAACGAGATATAAATTTTGTTTAATTTTATCCTATGAAACAAAACTTGCACAACGGTTTTCTAACACAAATATACAATATTGTTTATATGAAATATGAAAAATCACATCTTATTTTTGAGAAGTTTGGAATTTTTATGAAAAATGTCCCATTTACCCCAATTTCCCCTACTATTTATTATATTAGAAATGTACATTATATATGAGAGAGTGAACACTTTATAATGCTTGACAGCGACATGAATTTGAGAGTGCTCTCTTAAGTTTTATAAAATCGAAGTAAATAACTCACAAAGCACATAACAACAAAACGATTTTGGCCAACAAACACTCTCTTATGGGGAAAACTGCACTGCAAGCTCCACGAAAGATATTCACTTTGCGCATGATTGTGATAAGAACTTGAATTTCTTACAACCATGCAGTCCTGGTGACGCAAGTCATAACCTATTTATTATCAAACTGTCGGTCTATTCTTTATTCAACATCACCAAAGCGTGTACTTGACCATGTGTACACAATCATGCAAGGAGATCTCTTTAATCCCAGTATTATTAGCATTTATGCATCCTACCGGAAATCGACTCCGACTTTACAACACTTCTGTGCCCTTCTGCACACGGTACCCGTTACACCAACCTTGACCTGTTTTAACACTTTACAAAACAAAAGGAAGAAAAGATAGAAAGAAAGGAAATTAAATAAACTGTAAATGTAATCTGAATCTGAGATAAATATCTTTGAGGGAAATCCGTCCTTTTAAAATTTATAAATGAGCTCCTGTGGTGTCTTTTAGACAGTGTTACAGGTTGGATTTATAATTTTTGTTCGTTTCCTGACACTGACGGAATATTGTAGTTCAAATTTCTTCACAGGGAGTAATTTACAATAAATTCAAGATGTTTCAAAAACTTTTATCGATCATGTTGATAGAGTCAACTTTTTTCCTCATTCTATTACATTTTTCTGATGTTGTAAAGGGAAAATCCAGAAATGCGTTATCTCTTCTTAAACCTCCTCCCATCCCCAATAACATCTAAATAACATAAGAATTTGTCCAGATACAAATTACGCTCCAATACATCGTCAAATCAGGACAATGACCCATAACTACCACTTTTAATTCAGAAATCATTATATAGTTAGTGACGGGGTACGAGAGCAACGTATGATTTGTTTGGACCTGAAGGTGAAAAAGTTGCCCAAGGCCATAGGCAAGGGCAACATTTTCACTTTCAGGTCCAACAAATTGCAACAGGTTGCCCGAATCCCAGTCTATAACTGTTTTGTTAACTTATACTCTTCGCTTAAGATATCGACATAATACAATTTATTAAAACACTAATTTGAAATTTGAAGACTTCTGAACAGATTTAGTCAATATATAAGCAATAACATTATAAGCAACATTTTGCTTTAACAATAAAAATGAAACAATAACAAAGAATGAAAAAAAAATAATTACAAAATTATTATATATCACAGAAATTATTTATCACAAAACATAAATTTCGGCTGTCGGAGAAAACTATGACGCCATCATTCAAATAGCATACAATATATTCTTGCAGCTGTAAACTTGGGCTATTTCCGTGTCGCCGATATTGAACAACTACTAATTACCTGTGACGTAACCGTGACGTTGCGGTCTAAGAATTCTTATTTTGGACTAATAGACCGGTCAACATCGAAATTGTTAGACCGATGCAAAAAACATTTAGTTTGTTGGACTTTTTATTGGTAATAAATATATAAATATTTAAGAGGGTATAACAATAGTTTTTATTGTCTTTTAGATGCGACAAGAATCGTGCTTGCTACTGTGATAACACACTATTATTAAAACTTATATCAGTTGGTGATAACGCTATTTTTTACACGACTTTGTCCGGTCCGTAATTTTGACCTATTTATAGCGGATAAACCAAAGGGGGTATTTCTGAAAATATCAAGGTCTTATTGTTGACTTCATTTGAAAATGTTATCCCATTTACGTCAGTGTTTAAAGGTCCCAAGGACGTATTTAAAATTCTGCAAAATTGTTTCTATGGAGGCAGTGCCACCTGTTTACTCAATTTTCCAGCCCAAAAACAAACACTGTATGAATTAAGATTATAAAAAACTTTCGAAAATGGAAAAACTTTCGAAATCGAAATTTTCAAATTGCATTTAATTAAATGCGTGTGACACATTTTAGATATCAAAATAAGCATAAATTTTAAAACGATGCTCAGTAAAGAGCGGAAGTGACTGCGCTGAGTTAATCTCTACGACTTCTGGTCGTCTTTAACTACGACCTACTTATGGACATGTGAAGCTGACATTATATAAAGCCTGATGCACTGTCCTGTCGTCTGCATACTCTCCGAGATCTGGCAAAAGGTTAGATTTGTTTTGTTAATTAATTTAGTCCAATGTTTTAAATATGTTTGTATATTCCTTGATGAGAAAACTTACGAAGTTCAGAGATAGAATTATTATACTTAAATGCTCTGTATGTAAAATGCTTGAATCATAATATTGACAGAGAGGGATCACAACATCCTAATGAAAATTCTTATTTTTTTAATGTATATGTTTTTTATAAGGAAAAAATCAAAGAAATTTGGGATTAAGACAAATTATATGCAACCATTTTTAGTGCGATATGTATTAGCAGTAACAATTTTTTTAAATACGAATTTAGTTTGATTTACTGATGTTCAGAGTCATAAACCGTGCATATAACTCCATATGCTCGCTAAGTGACGTCAATCCTACATTAGCATGATTAGGTTGACTTTTTAATTCAAGATGCTTGAGTCAATGTTAAATTGAATTTTAAAATGTGTCTTTAAATGACCATGTTCACATTTGTCTCTTGTGTCTTAATTTCAGATTACACATTACAATGAACATTACTGTTAATTCGTCGATGTGGACAAGAGCAGTTTCAAGGATCGGTATCCTGAACAATGATTCACTAAGTATGCCGGAGGACTCTGTCGATATATTGCAGTCGGAGCTCTTGCCGTCCCTTATTTATGTCTCGTGCCTCCTTCCAATTGGGGTCACCGGGAATGCCCTCGCCTGTTGTGTGTATTACAAGAAATGGAGGAAGAAACGCAAAGTTTCTACGCTGTTTATTCTGACTTTGGCCTTAACTGATTTAATTAACTGCTTGGCCACTATGCCGTTTGAGATTGCATTACTGTTGAATCCTTTATATTTTGATTTCCCAATTCTCTGTAAGATCTCTCGATGGATGACATATTTCCTAAACTGTTTCTCCACGCTGACCCTCCTGGGTATTGCCTTTGACCGACTGTTTGGTATAAGGTACACGTTTAAAAAAGCTCCATTTGGAATAAAACGCTGCAAGATATACCTTGCATGTTCATTGTTGATTGCTATGTTAACCACTTGGCCAGCATTAATTCTGTTCGGAACATCCACAATGGTTCATCACGATACTCCCTCCAAAACTTGTCTCATTGACGATGAATATGCTTCAAACAAAATGGCCATCAAACCTTTCTGGCATGGAATTTACCTTATTGTGTCTATCTTTGTCGTAGACAGCATTTTGATCATCATCTACAGTTTGATTGGATGCACGATCTACAAAAGGCGAATCGGCCCATCCGGTCTACGAAGAAGCGGCAGATTCGCTTCGTCATTTTCATTCAAGAGGTGTTCGATAGACTCGTGTTCTTGTAATTCAAAGAACAATTTTAACTGCCCCAGCTGTAGACAAAAGGCAAAGTGTGCATTGACAGACATAGATGAAATTCTCGAGGACGATGTATTCGTTAATACTGCTACAGGTCCGCACACAAAAAGTAACTCCAGCTCAACTGAATTCTTTAGCAACAGCTGCAGTAGTAACAATGGCCGATCCAGCAGATATAGCGGACGATTTTCACCAAAACGAACGTCGCCAGTAAAATCACAGCAATCCTTCCGCTTTAGCACAGGATCTCCAGAGAAACCTTTAAGGTTTTCTTCAATAAAGAGTTCATTGTCTAGTCAATCTTCCAGGAGGAATCTGAGGTTCGAATCGTTTTCAAATGAAAGCTTGAGATTCGGGCCGCGGTCCAGAACGAGGAAGACGTTACTGATGCTGGGCGTGGTGACGGCAGTGTACATATTGACGTTTCTCCCCTACTGTGTGATTGTTATACTTAGATATACATCCCCAGGACTGTATTTAACAATGAACTTGGTACAGAAAAATCTCTACCAATTGTTTATTAGATCTTACATGCTTAGCATGTCTACAAATTCTATAATATATAGCTTTGTGAACAATCATTTTAGGCAAGAATGTTATTTAGTGATAAAATCACTATTTTATATGTATCGTAAAAACCATGACTAGATCAAATGTGTACATTGTATTTTATTATGTAACAGTAAACCAATAAAGAATCTTATAAAAAAATCTTTGAAAATTTAATAAGAAACATCAGGACAACAGTAGACATGAAACATACAAGTATTTCCCTACTGTGTAGGTTTAAGTTTATTCCCAACATTGTCCCCCTGGGATAGATGGGGACACAATAGGGTGTCAAGGAGTATACATTTTATAGGAAAAAACTAAAAAAAAAAAACTTCTCAGAAATAAACTTAGAAAATGATATATATAACAGTACTTCTTTGTGACTTGGCACAATATTATAGCACTTTATGTCATAGAGAAAGATACTACAGCAAATATAAGCTTAAGATTAATACTGTCACAATTATATCTGTATAGTGTTAACACCATACACTGCTCTCACCCCCCTCCCCCCCTCCCCTTTCCAATCAACTTACACATGAGACACAAACACACTTTACTGAACATTACAAACCTCTTCCTCTGTGACCTGAACTGCTAGGAAGTAATTTGGAGCTGGCTTCTTTTCTTTCTTTCTCTTTTTCTCTCTCTGCTCCTCTTGATTTGTTTCTGTTTTCTTCTCTCTTTTTCTCTCTATAGACATGTAAGAAAAAACTCAGTAGATGAAGGATTTCATCTCATATGAAGAAAAAAGATAGTTAAGGTCTCCAAAAATTAAATGAGTAAGTACATGGATCTACTACAATCAATAAAATCTTCACAAAACAGCATGAAAGAAGAAAAATATCTACAGGTACCTGTACTAGTATGTGTTTAAATAAAATTTTACATTTAGTGATGATAGAACATTAAGGAACTCTTAGATCTGGCAGTTTTCACTATAATTGTTATTTATAACAAAATCAGTTTTAAACGTCTGGACTGTTTCCTTTTTTTAAGTTTTAAATTAATACATACACTGAACTGAGTATTCACATTTACTGAAGGTCAAGACAGTTAAACATCCTTTAGTGCTCACACAGGATGGTATGTATTTTACACATTTTACAGACAATGCAGGATGTTCCGTCATTTTTGGCAAAGAAAATATTTAAAACTGATAGTTTAAATTGAAAATATCATAAACAGCAGCCTAATTTGTGGGGGTTTATGGAGTTATATACATACATGTACAATAGAGCACGTGATAATTCATGCATTAACAGAGCAGGGGATGTAGCAAAATTCTTCGGGGTACAGCTCTACATTGTTTTTGTATTAAACACATTTGAACCTTAAAATGTTCAATTTCAAAATTTTTAAAAGATTTTTGTCTTTGCCTACTGTAACATTAGCGTTATGGTTTTATATTTTAGTCTTTGAACAAAGACTAAAATATAAAACCATAATGCTACAGTTCTGCAGCTACTGCTGCAGTTGACCTATAAATTTTAAAATACATGTACTGAAATGATGCCAATATTGATAAAGGATCATGATGATGTTTCTATTGGAAAATTGACATACTGAAACATTTAGAAAGAACATTTAAACAAAACGCCAATGAAAATGAAACTTTGGATACAAAGATGGTAATTATGAAAAAACTGAAATAAACTCACCGAGCTAAAAAGATTCAAGAACTCATTTATTACCATACGATATTTCATAGAAAAATATTGTAAATTGACCCTGATCATTAAAAAAGAGCCAATTTTTAATTATCATACTTTTTTCTGCATGCTCAGAATTATTCTTTTCTATATCTTCTTTATCGTGTGAATGCAGTGAAGCATATTTTGTAACACGATTTGTCAGCTGTTGGCTCAAAATTCGGGGTTTCTTATCACAAAATTTCCTCTTTTGTAGGTTCAACATGACGTGACATTTGCTTAGCGAATATTGAGTTTGATTTTTCTTCACTACATTGCAAAAAGGAGATAACACAGGCGAAAAAGCAATGAAGAATGGGAAAAGTATATTTCCCATTTTCATCATGTTTGTTTACAATTTCCAGCTGACATATTTTTACGTTTTGATAACTCGTACCAGAACATCTATGATCAATTGTGTTATTAAATGGTCCTTAATTTCTCAATTCATCACTATTAGATACAAATAACTAGAATCTTTATTTTTTATAAGTTTTCTGAGATTCATATCAATAAAAGAAACCTTATTCTGCACGAATGAAATATAGCCGAATTTTAAAAGTTAAAGTTATTTGCAGGAACTTGCAATGTCATAGTGATAAATGTGTTTTTAAGGTTTCTAAGTAAATTCTAGCATTTAAAGTGTCATTTACACATTGATTTTTTTTATTTTCCAAAATGATGGAAGACAAGTCCCGGCGGTATGAAAAAATAGAATTTTTAGGCGAAGGACAGGTTTGTTAAACAATATTGTGCTTGTTACTGGGTAATATGTTTAAATTGTACTCTAACTGAAATTAAAACATGGTGATAATTTAAAAAAATGTTTTTATACAGTATGTTTGTGTTATATTCTAGTTTGCAACAGTCTACAAAGCAAAGGATTTGAAAACTGGGAGTATTGTAGCAGTCAAAAAGGTATCAGTACAAGTTTCATTTTTTTGGTTAGTAATTTGGTTTCTAAAGTTAATAATTATTTTTATTATATACCCAACTGTTTGTCACTCAGTTTTACTGTTGAATTTACGCAATCACGAGACGATGTGATCCGACGTTCCGGATCACCACACTGTGGTTTTCTGAATCCATATCACCCCTCTCTGAAACTGATGACGTAGTACACAGATAAATGACGTTTTTATTCTCGCGCATCAAAAAGTTCCTTGACAAAATGGTTTGTTTAATGGATAAAAGTTATGTAATTGATCCAAAAAGTTTTTCTTTTATCATATTTTGCTAGTTGTAGAGGGGTATATAATAAATTATCATTATAACAGTAACTTGATCCGAAGAGCCGTATCACGTCTTGTTGACAGGCGCAGATCATCAGATCAAACTCGACGCTTCGCGTCTCGTTTGATCTGATGATCCGCGCCTGTCAACTTGACGTGATACGGCTCTTCGGATCAAGTTACTGTTATTATACATATATTACATGGCTTCGAGGGCAACATACCAGAATATTTGCCCCCGAGGTGACAGGAAAGCCCTGGAGTGTTATGTCGCCCGATGCCGAAGGCAGAGGGCGACATAACACTCCAGGGCTTTCCTGTTACCGAGGGGCAAATATTCTGGTATTGTTGCCCGAGAAGTCATGTAATATATGGTATATAACATTTTTAAAAAAACCAAAATCGGACATATGTATTGAAGACTATGGACCTGTGTAAATATCTGGAAAAAACATGCAAATTGTTTTTTAAATAGTTGATTGGTGGGTACCAATAGTTTCGATAATAAGGCTAAGGAACATTAACACTATTGTTGTTAAAATGATAACGGGGGACGGCTGAAAGTTATGAAGGCTGATTTCTCTTCCTCTATAAATAATTCCGAAATATTCCGTCTTGTTTCATTGTAGAATGTTTTCAGCACGCTGACACTTGTGCTTATAACTTTTGTTGTATTTACGGAATTTTTCTCCTCAATCAAACTATCTAGTTCCTCTGAATTTAAATGAACATAAAAAACGTAGACGTTTTCCAGACATTTTCATTTTCGCGGAACTGTTTATGTTTGCTTAGCAACTGCCTCTGTGAATTTCGAACCCGATTTAATTAATATGCAGAATGATTACACGCGAGGGAATATAACGGTGTTCGGGAGGGCAACATAACTGTTTCCGGTGTAATATAACTATATCCGGCGTGATTCAGCAGTTTTTCAGGGCATATGGATAAAAATATCATATTTGTGATATAATGGGAAAACTTCTTCAAAAATGTTATATAATAATATATATAGATCACAGGTATGGTTTATAAATATGTATACCTATTGATATGTTAAAAAAGTACTTTTTTAACATATCAATAGGTATACATATTTATAAACCAAGACCCAAGTACCTGTGATTTAGATGTCTCTACAATTTGTACATGCATCACTTGAGTGAAAAATATTCGAATGCAATGTAAAACCTTTTTTTCAGATTAAAGTTGGCACAAGAGCTGAAGCTGCTGATGGAATAAACAGAACTGCCTTACGAGAAATCAAATTATTACAGGATCTTCATCACAAACACATTATTGGGGTAGAGGGGTCTTCAAGAAATTAGAGAAATCAAATTATTATATACCCAACTGTTTGTCACTCAGTTTTACAGTTGAATTTATCATTATAACAGTAACTTGATCCGAAGAGCCGTATCACGTCTCGTTGACAGGCGCGGATCATCAGATCAAACTCGACGCTTCGCGTCTCGTTTGATCTGATGATCCGCGCCTGTCAACTTGACGTGATACGGCTCTTTGGATCAAGTTACTGTTATAATAATATATATTTATTACAAGATCTGCCTTCCAAGAAATCAAATTATTCGAATGCGGGTGGTTTCGCCCTGATTACCTGTTCGCTCTGAGTGGTTTCACACTGTTTCCCTGTTCACCCTGAGTGGTTTGCCCCGAGTGGTTTTCTTATAACTAACAGTGTGCTTGATGTTTATTTAAGTAAAAGTTGTTTGATTAATGAGTGTTTAGATAAGATTAATATAATTATTGAGCACTTCAATTAAATTCAGTTATGAGTTACCGATCAATACTAATAAATATTTCCAGTCCGATTTTCACGACAGATCTATGATACACACTTTTCTTTTTAAAAAAAATCACGAACACAGGGAAAAAAGAACTTAATTCATCTGTGTTAAAATATGCAAAATACATGCTTAGTTTAAGCGTTTCAATTTTATTCCAACAATCTCCATCTTTTTTTTCAAATTTTGATCTAAGTAGATTTACTTCATTATAAAAACGTAAATCAAATTGGTGTGCCGTCTAGATCGCTTTAAATATATACAATAAAAACCCACAAATACGCAAAAACCACAAACATAAACATTGAAGATTTGTTATAGCAAACTGCCAAAATACACACGTGGAAAAATTTTAATAACAGGTAACAGATATAATCGGGGCGAAACCACTCGCTGTGAAACCACTCAGAGCGAACATGTAATCGGGGCGAACTCATCCGTTACAAATTATTCCAAGATTTTCATCACAAACACATTTTAGCGTAAAGCTGTACAAAAACCCAACAGGTTATTTTGATAGTAAGAATATTTTAAACATGAAAATCTGCCCTCTGATTAAAAAGTCATATAGCTGCAGAGACTGTCTCTCTGATTCTCAACCAGAGAGCTACAGATCCAAACAATGTAAAAACCTTCCATTTACGCTGCTGCCTTTTTTGTTGCTTGCTTCGGGTATTATTTCTTGTATTATTATGCATTCCCCTGCCAAAAGCATGGTATTCTTTGATTAACCACATATTTAACTAATAATCTTGTTACTTTATTTACCTATCAATGGTTCCAAACAGCCCTTTATGACTTTTGAATGTAAATTTTAAAAATTTGCATTCCAGCATTTGGATCTGTAGCAGAAGCTCTCTGGTTTGTCTGTCTGAATTTTCTCAACCAGAGAGCTACAGTTTCTGCAGCTATAAGTCATATGACAAAAAAAAACAACAAAAAAACGCACATGTACCTCCTTTTGTGATGGATAAAAATTACTGTTCATAAACAACGTACACCTGTATGTAATATTATATTGATTTGAATTTACTGACATAAATAGGAATAGTTAACAAGTAGTGTAACCTTATCATGCTTATGAGAATACATTTATACTCATTTTTTTCATATTCTTAGCAAAGTGTACATGAAAGTATTTCTACATGTAGATTTTTGATGTATATAACATTATGTTAATGTTCTTATGTTTACTTTCTCAGCTGCAAGATGTATTTGGATTGGGACATCGGTCCAATGTCAACCTGGTGTTTGACTTTATGGAAACAGATCTGGAGGTAATTTTTGTGTTTGGTTCAATATGCATTGTATAGCTCACCTCAAGGAAGTCAAGGTTATACTTTACTCACAGCGTTGGCATCAGCATTAATGCAGACATTCCAGTCAAAGTTTTAGGAGCAGGTCCATTCACAAGTAATTATAAGCTTTATGGTGACCAAACTTGTGTGGTTGATGCATGTAGGGATGTGCACAACCAGACTTGCTTCGAATGCTAGATTTGACCTACATTGTCTGATTTTCTGGTTGAATGACCAGTTTAATTCTTATGATCAGGTCCAATCCCAAGAAACTGAGCCTTAAGGTGACAAAACTGTATCCCTGATGCACCTATGATTGCACACTACCAGACTTGCTTTGGATGCTGAATTTGACTTTCATTTTCTGGATGACTGAAGGACCAGATTAAAGTCTTTCAGGCAGGTCTATTCCCAAGTTACTAAACACCCTTTGGTGACTAAACTTGTATAGGTGATATTTGTATGAATGCACACTACAAGACTTGCTTCAGATACTGGATCTAACATACATTTTTTGTATGACTGAACAGGTTTAAGATTTTGAAGCAGGTTCATTTACAAGTAACTAAGCCCTATGGTGACCAAAATTGCATGGATGATGCTTCTAGAGATGCACACTACTAGAGTATTTTTTAGTGTGAGATTTTGCTTTCACCGAAAGATAACCTTTGTTGAGGTGAGCTTTGTAATCTTTGCTTGTTTTTACTCCTGTATTGAGTCAAATGATAGTCACCTGGTGACAATAAACACTTTTCTCTCTCTCAGATTATAATTAAAGACCAGAACATCGTAATGACCCCGGGCCATGTGAAGTCATACATACTACAGACTCTCTTAGGACTGGAATATCTACATGTACAATTTATCCTGCATAGGGTAGATCAATCTTTTTATATGGCTAATATTTCTTAAAAAATCCCTAAAATGGGTAGACTCATTTATACCATACTAATTTTTATGATATTCATGATTGATTATCATGTGTAATTTCAGTATAAGTACGCAGTGTGTTTATGTCAATACATGTACATGTTTACCATTTTTGTCATAATCCCAAAGTAATATAACTCTCTCTTAAAACAGTAAAATAATATACTGGTATGAGGATAAAAATATTTCAAATCTACTGTAGGATTTGAAGCCAAACAATTTACTGATCAATGACCAGGGGGTGTTAAAGATAGGAGATTTTGGATTAGCCAAATTTTTTGGATCACCAACAAGAGTGTACACACATCAAGTGGTTACCAGGTACAACGTTCAGTAAAATTCTATTGAAAAGAAAGAGATTTCAAAACTTTACTATTTTGAATGCTTAAAAATTTTACACTTTTGCTTCAAATATTGAACTACATGTTTGTATTTAAGTGAAAATTTTAATTCAATCTATTTGAATTGCATGCATTTTCAAACTACAGTGTTCATGTAATTAAAATTGACCGCTATTATAGGTGGTACAGGTGTCCTGAGCTTTTATTTGGTGCACGACAGTATGGGACTGGAGTAGATATATGGGCCGTTGGATGTATTCTGGCAGAATTACTTCTGAGAGTAAGTTTTCAGAAGTTGTGGGTTCTGCATTTTTGCAGTGTATGTAAATGTTTGAAGATGTGATAGACAATATAGAAATTTATCTGAAATTTGCCCAGATTGTGCAGATTATTTTTTATGCCCCCATAATCAAAGATTCGGGGACATATATTTTTTACTCTGTGCGTCTGTCTGTCTGCCTGTGTGTCCGTCTGTCCGTCCATTTGTCTGCAAAACTTTAACCTTGCCCATAACTTTTGATTGGTTAAAGCTATGGCAATCATATTTCACATGTGTATTTCTTGTGACAAGACCTTTCCTTGGGTACCAACATTTTTGACCTCTTGACTTTGACCTTAAAGTTTGGCCTACTTTTGCAAAATTTTTCTGAACTTTAACTTTGGCCATAACTTTTGAACGGTTGGTGCTAGCACTTTCATACTTCACATGTATATTCCTTGTGACAAGATCTTCCCTTGGGAACCAAGACTTTTGACCCTTTGACCTTGACCTTGGAGTTTGGCCTACTTTTGAAAACTTTAAACTTGGCCATAACTTTTTGAATGTTATGGGTGCTATAATTTTTACATTTCACATGTATATTTCTTGTTACAAGGCCTTCCCTTGGATACCAACTGTTTTGACCTTTTGTCCTTGACCTTGAAGTTTGACCTACTTTTGAAAAACTAAAAACTTGACCGCAACTTTTGAACAGTTAGTGCTATGGCTTTCATATTTCACAGGTGTATTCCTTGTGACAAGAACTTCCCTGGTGCACCATTAATTATGACCCTTTGACCTTGACCTTGGAGTTTGTCCTACTGTTGAAAACCCCCAGCCATACCTATTGAACAGTTGGTGCTAGGGCTTTTTAATATTTCACAGATTTATTCCTTGTGACAAGATCTTTCTCTTTGGGTACCAACAATTTTGATCTCTTGACCTTGGAGATTGACATGCATTTGAGAAACTTTAACATTTGCCATAACCTGCCATACGTTGGCATCAGCGTTTCATAAACGCATCTTGTTTCTTTATACATTTTAATTTTAAGGTATACAAGCTGCTGTTAAATAATTCTTTTGTATAAGGGGAAAAAATACCCAAGTGTTTATCTATTTAGGAGAAAAAATAGAAGTCTGCACAAAAAATTAGACCTCAAAGCCATCTGTATTCATAGAATGCAGGTGTAGGTGCAGAAATTAATTGTGAATATTATTTCTCATGAATATTCATGAATCAGAAGTACCTGTATGTATAATTTTCTGCAGATGTGAGGGGAGCATATGCTGTTCAATGTAAATGTGTAATTCTACCTTTATCTGTATTGTAGATATACATGTACCAGTAAATGTTTGAAGGCATGATTCATTGTTTGATGAAGGAATCATATTTAAATACATGTCATGCAATCCAGGGTAGATAATTAAGACATACTCAACAAAAATGGCATGATTTTTCTAGCACAAATAAATATTGGGTAAAGGAGATTCAAGGTCATCCAAACAAAGTGTCACACCCATGTCAGGGGAATTGTTTAAATTCATTTTTTAAAGTTTTCAAATATTCTACTTTATTATATACCCAACTTTTTGTCACTCAGTTTTACTGTTGAATTTATGCAATCATGTGACTGTGTGATCCGACGTTCCAGATCACCACACAGTGGTTTTCTGAATCCATATCACCCCTCTCTGAAACTGATGACGTAGTACACAGATAAATGATGTTTTTATTCTCACGCATCAAAAAGTTCCTTGACAAAATGGTTTGTTTAATATATGAAAAGTATGTAGTTGATCCAAAAAGTTTCCTTTTATTATATTTTGCTAGTTGTAGAGGGGTATATAATAAATTTATCATTATAACAGTAACTTGATCCCAAGAGCCGTATCACGTCTCATTGACAGGCGCAGGTCATCAGATAAAACGATAAAAAGAGACGCTTCAGTCACTGGATCTGACAGAAATATTAAAACATACAAAAACTTCCTTAGGCATTGTACTTATAATTTAACATTTTATTTAATGCCCATGAACATTTTATTTATCATGTTTATGCCAGTACATGTATTTACAAAAGAATACATTTTGTTCTCACACATTATGTACAATAAAGACCTCATGTTTGACAGAAAATGTAATTTCTGTGCAATAAATTCTAGGTGCCATTTTTGCCAGGAGAATCAGACTTGGATCAGCTTAGTAAAATATTTCGAGCACTTGGTACACCCACAGAAAAAGACTGGCCGGTAAGTCATTTGTAGGTCCCTTAGTGTATGTAACTATTTACTACATGTAGATCTTCTGTACATCCTTTAGCATTTGTAACTACAGTAAAACACTGTTACAGCAAAAACACGAATGATGAATTCATGTTTACAGTGAAGTGATTTATTCCTTGTAGTTTTAAAACATATACTTAATGGATATAATGAATTAAATTTAAATTTATAAAAAAAAAATGCTAATCCCTGGAACTTTGCTATAAACCTGTTTTACCTAAATATAATCTGCACTTACTAATTCAACAATTAGCATCTCCCTTACACTATACCGTGGTCTGTAGAGCATAGAGAATATTTGTCAGCTGTGTGAGTAGTCATAAGATATGTTATACATATATGACCTTTATAAAAAGTCCCTCACATGAGTGCTCCAATGTACAAGCTGTAGATCCCTTTTGTTAGCAGCTCTGATTCCTAAACTTTATATGCTTTTTTTTTTTCCACAGAAAATCAAAGCATTACCAGACTTTCTCCAGTTTAAGTCATTCCCTGCCATTCCATTAAAGGAGATATTTATAGCAGCCTCAGATGATCTTCTTGAAGTGTTGTCCGCAATGCTGAAAATGGACCCCTTACAGCGCTGCACATCAACTCAGGTGTGACCACTTCCTAGCCTTCATTTCTTTTTGTTCTTTTCTTAATTTTTAGCTCTTCTGGTCAGAAACCAGTAGAGCTTATGCATTAGTAAGGTGTCTGTTGTCCGTCCGTCTGTCTAGCTGTCCGTCTGTGAACAATTTTTCAATTGCTACTCCTCCTATAGATTTACTTGGTACACAAGTAGACTATACTAAGATACATAATTCTCTTTTCAGTTTTTGATTATGACAAACAGTGTTGCCATGGTTACTAAAAATAGAAATATCTGTGTAATTTCTTCTCCCCCAGTTTAAATCCAATTTCAGTCAGAATTGATACACAAGTAGACTGACTATACTTAGATAAATAATTCTATTTATTGGTTTTTGATTAAATCAATCAATGTTGCCATATGTTAGTATGAATAGAAATTTCTGTGAAATTCTTTCAAAGCATCACTCCTCTTACAGTTTGGTCAGACTTCAGTAAGACTTGGTACACAAGTTGACTATACTTTTATATTATGAGTACAAATCAGTAGAGCTACTGTCTTGTCAGAGAATTCTGGTTTTAATTTTCTTATTGCCTTTCATTGAAACCATTCATCACTGGATACACTTTACTAGGAAATAAACAGCAGTGAAGTTGGAGGATTTTTATACATGCATAATTGTATATAATTATTCAAGAGACAATGCTGTGATTTGCTAAACTAATTATTGCCTAGACTAAGAGAGTAACACACATTTCAGTTTTATTGTAAAAAGAAATTGGCAAATTGACAAATGCAGTCTTTTCTATTAAAAGATTATTGTGTAGTGTAGTCATTACTGATATCAAGAATTTTGTTATGCAGGCTTTACAAATGGAGTACTTCAGCAACAAGCCTGGCCCCACCCCTGGTCCCCAGCTCCCCCGGCCTGGCAGTAACAAAATTGTCCCTCAGAAAGAGGAAAGCATGTCTTTAAAAAGGAAAATACAAGAACAGGGAGGTAGGGATCTGAAAATAGGAAACATTGTACATATGTTTACTTACTGTGTTTAATGCTTACGTTTAAAATGTCCCTTTACTTTTTACTTTGTACAGGTGGACTTATAAAAAAACTACAGTTTTAGTAGGACTTCTTGAAGAACTCAGTGAAAGGAAGAATTTATATCTAAACCTGTGAGAAACACCTCAGTGCTTATCACAAGAGTTATACATACCTGTATGAGGCTTTCAGTGGAATTCGAATACAATCTAGTAAACGAGTGAAATGTCTTTCATATTCACATGTTAACTCATACAACATCTTCCAACTCAGGAACTTGGAGAAACTGTCCATATTTGTGAAATGTACATTCTGATATGCCTAAGTAAAATGTTACACAATGTGATGCTTACAAAATGATCAGTTGGTGCTGTGTGCCTGAGGAACACTACGTGTTTGAGTGTTTGCTGAACTGTTTTGGAAAAATGTGAAAAAGTTTTTCTTGTTTGAGTTTTTAACTGTAGTGGAGAACGTGAAGAAGTTGACAGGTGTTTGTTTGAGTGTTTGTTGAACTGTAGTGGAAAATGTGATGAAGTTGACAGGTGTTTGACTGTTTGTTTGCTGAACTGTAGTGAGAATGTGATGAAGCCTACAGGTGCTTGTTTCAGTGTTTGCTGAAATGTGGTGGAAATATGTGAAGAAGTGTTTGTTTGCTGAACTGTAGTGGAGGATGTGATGACGTTGACAGGTGCTTGTTTTGTTATCAGTGTTAGGACTACAAGTACACAGTGATGTGTTAGGACTAGGAGTCCACAGTGATGTGATAGGACTAGGATGCTGTGATGCCATCATTTGTCTGCCAGCAGATTGTTGTTGTGTTCATTTTTGTGTACTATTAAAGTACAATTTATAATAGCATTAATTGTTTGGATTTTTAGCTCACGTCAACGAAGTTAGGGTGAGCTTATGTAATACCCTCTATGTCGGCATCCAAGGTTTGGATCAGATTTCTTTTCAAGCACTTCTATGCCTTACATTAATCAGAGATGCATGGAAGATGCTTCTAGTATGTTTCATTGTACCAGTCAAGGTTTCAGATGCTGCAATTTCAGCTGAAGAATGAACAGGTTAATGTTTTTGGAGCAGGTTAAAGATGTTGGAGCAGGCTCATTTTCAAGTAACTATAAACCCTATTTTGACCAAACTTGCATGAATGATACATCTAAGGATATACACTTCAGACTTGCTTCAGATGCTGAATCTGACCTACATTTCCTGAAGAGTGACCAGGTTAAAGGTTTTGGAGCAGGTTTCATTTCTAAGTAACTATAAGACTTCTATTGACCAAACTTGCATGGATAATACATCTAAGGATGCACATTACCAGGCTTGCTTTGGATGCAGGATCTGACTTAGGTTTTCTGAATGAGTGACCGGGTAAAGTTTTTTGGAGCAGGTTCATTCTAAAGTTATATTGACCAAACTTGTATGGATAATACATCTAAGGATGCACACTATTGGATTTGCTTTGGATGCTGAATTTGACCTACATTTTCCAGATGAGTGACCAGGTTTAAGTTTTTGTAGCAGTTTCTTTCTAAAGTGACTATAAACCCGATGCTAATTAACTTTGCACTGTGGATACATATATTGATGCACACTACCAGAGTTGCTTTGGATGCAGGATTTGACTTATATTTTCCAGATGAGTGAACAGGTCTGACTAATAAACTATTAGGCCTATCTGAACTTAACTCTCATGGGTGTTGCATCAAGTGATGCACACTACCAGAGTTGCTTCAGATGCTGGATGTGACTTACAAATTTTCAAATGAACAAAGGTGGATCCAGCCCCCAAAAGGCAAAGTCCCACGCAAGGGGAGATAATCAAGAAAAGACAAAAATAGGGTGGGGTGATTAAAAAAATCTTCTTCTCAAGAACCACTGGGCCAAAAAAGCTGAAACTTATGTGGAAGCATCCTGGGATAGTGTAGATTTTCAATTGTTAAAATCATGACCCCCGGGGGTAGGGCGGGGCCACAATAGGGAATCCAAGTTTTACATTGAAATATATAGGAAAAAATCTTTAATAATCATCTTCTCAAGAACCACTGAACCAGAAAAGCTGAAACTTATGTGGAAGCATCTTTGGGTAGTAAAGATTCTAAACTGTTCAAATCATGACCCCCAGGGGTAGGGCGGGGCCACAATAGGTATTACAAGGGGGAAATCTGGTAAAGAACAGCATGGCCAAAGTTACTCAGGTGAGCGATGTGGCCCATGGGCCTCTTGTTATATATATAGAACTCCTAAAATCAAGGAAAAAAACATCTCTTTTTTTGTAAGAATTTATCAGGTCCCCCCAGACCCCCACCAGGGCTTTGCCCTAGACCCATTGGGGGCTTCAGTGTAGCCCACAGATCCCCTGCCTTCTACTGTGCCCCCTCCCCTATTATGAAATTCCTGGATCGACCACTGATGAGTGACCAAGTTAGTTTTTGGAGCAGGTCCAATACCAAGAAACTATAAGGCTATCTGAACCAAACTTGCATGGATGATGCATCCAAGGATGAACACTCTCAAACTTCAGATGCTGGATTTGACTTACATTTTCTGGATGAGTGACTAGTTTAATGTTTTTAGATAAGTCCAGTCTCAAGTAACTGCAAACCCAAATTTGCATAAATGTTGAAGACCAATGCACAAAGATGTGTTGTATCCTTTTGTAGTCAATGAAGTATTGAATTATTGTTTTTTGATAGACAATCTCATAACTGCAATGATGTATGCAACAAATTGAGTATCGCATGTTATAAAAATTTGATTGCACACACCTTTGCAGTTATGAGACTACATCTTTCAAGAAATAATAATAAGCATTAATAATTCAATGCAGAGACTTCACATTTTAAACTCTCTGCCTGTTTGCCAGATGTGATTTATATTTCATTTAAATCTCTGTACATGTATTATCCTTTGGGTAAGTTACAATTAATGGAAGAGCTATTGCATCAGCTACAACTGTTACACTGTTCAATGCGAGTCTGAATTTTGATTTTTGCTTATGATGTTCCACTTGCACAGCTTTTGTTTGTTGATGTCAAAGTAAAACTCATACACCTTTTGATCCCGTCATCCTTGTTATGGTGTTTTGAGTAAAATGTATGTAGAATATAAATGTGTACTAGTAATGTTGGATTTCATTTACATCATACAATGTATACCAGTAACACTTTGAAATAATTGAAGATATTCTTTTATTTTAGAAATGCCAGAATTTGTTCAGCAAAATTCTTTTTTTTTTTATGTAGTCTATTATTGCACTAACAGATTCATAATTTCATAATAGTAGCCCCCTCCCTATCCTGGAGGCCATGATTTGAGTCGTTAAATTTACATAACAGGATGAACTTTGTACATTTACATATATGTATTTATAAGACTCTCTCATTTATTGGAGGTAATATACTAGTACTTTTCTAAGTCCCTCTGTAAAATATGTAATAAAACTTTACTGAAATCCCAAGTAAACATAATAGATAACAAATAGATGGGAGAGAACAAGAAAGAAGTACACTGGCATATGTTATATTGTAAAGAATGTGCATGTTCACAATGAAGGACATTTATAGTGTGTGAAATGTGAATATTGCACTTTATATTCCCTCAATTCAATCACTTCTACATAAATAACAACAATGTCCATCATGTACCAGTGAACAAAATTAATCATAGGCATTTTAAGGTTTATAATACTGTATTGCTAAAAATTCTCTGTTCCCAACAGCATGAGATCATTTGAGGGAAAGAATTCTTGACTGACGATGGGAAACCTTCCTACACAGGACTTAAGTGAACCGGAATAAACTTCCCATTTTTCCCGAGATAAATTTCTGAAGTTTGAATGCACTTGTTCTAGTTTTCTTGGTTCAATATCTATCCCTGAACAAAACAGTCTATAATGAAGCACCATCCAAATGATGATAACAGATGTTATGTGCAGACATTTATCCTGGAAAAGTGGTAGAAGCACACTGCACAGAAACACATCATTTACTGCATCATACATAAGAATTCTGAAGTCACTAGAACTGATGATAATATGAGGAATCAAATGATTTCTAAGGCTTGGACGATGGTTCTTTTGAATTAATGAAAACACAATTGTCTCGGCAACACTCTTATCCACCACTGACTGAGTACTGGTAATGTGGACTCCTGTTCCCTGAGAACCATCCTCTTCACTATTCACTGTAAATAAAGACAAAATGAATACATGTATTTAAAAGCCTTTCAATCACTAAATGATCTTACATGTAGGTTTAGTATGCATATTTTCATGAATTGCTTCTCTCCTTCAGTTCATATCATTACCTCTGGTTTTCTTCATGGTAGGCCTAGATTCTATTGCCACTGGATTAGTAATGGTTGCAATACATTCTGGTTCAACACTCTCAAAAGATGGAAACATAATATCAACAAATCCATGCCACACTGCCTCATGGCCTGAAAATAATGAAAAAATCCTAAATAACTGGTATATGTGTAGTGATAAGAATTTAGAAAATTTTAGTCTAATGGACTACAGTCTAACATAAAACAGTGTCTGAAATTGAATAAGGTATCTTGTGGTAAAAATAAGTAGGGATGCCCTGTATATGAAACAAGTGCCAGGTGAGTTATACAATGTTTTCATCTTGCCATTCTCAGTTCATTTTGATCATTATACAGTTTGTCAACTGCCTAGAACACAAACCTATCCCTGTGTTCCCAAACTTTGCTATTTTCATACAATGGTCCAGTTGGCAACTACATCTTTCTTTCCCATTAACTTTGGAATTGATGACACAGGACTGTCCAGGAGCAAGCCTCCCCAGAAGGTGTTCCCCGAGTGCAACTGTCATCTCTACATCAGAAACCTCACCATTCTGAAGCTGATCCAGAATGCTACTTAGACTTTTTTCGTGTAACTCTAAAAATTAAAGTATTGTTGTTTTCACATTCATTTAAACAAAACGCATAATAAGAATTACTTGTCTCTTAGGGATAAAAGTCTTACCTTTCTCGTTTACAAATGAATTTAACACAGATAATGCTGCCTTGTGTTGTCTGTCAAGGCTTTCAAAAGACTGGTTTCCATCCTTTACCTCATTTATAAACTCTATTCCACGTCTAAATATGTTATTAAAATTTTTGACTAACATGACTCTTCTCTCATCTGTAACGCTGTTTATGTCGCATCTAGCATCAGAAAAGATGAAACTGTCTTTACAGTTGCAATTACTTCCGAGTCTGAGAATTGCAAACCTCACCGTTTCTGGCATATACTGAAATATGCTTGGATTCATCATAGTTTATCTATAGAGTGACATCGTTTTCGATTTTAGAATCTGTGCCATTTTTCGGAAGACCGAACCCGATCTTTATGAAATATACGACGATATGTAACGAACAGTGATCGATCTCCAAAAAAAAAAAAAAAAAAAGACTATGAAAAGTATGGAATTCCATATACGACAGCCAACTGCTTACTGCCAACTGCTCACTGCTTACTGCCAACTGCTCACTGCTTACTGCCAACTGCTCACCTCTTACTGCCAACTGCCACTGCTTATAGATTTTTTGTTATCTTTAATACGCATGCTTATTTGTACGAAAGCCTATTGGGATCAAACTACGGTAAAAAAAAAATTAAAAGGCGTTATAACGCCTTTTTAAAAGACGTTATAACGCGAAAAAAGGCGTAATAACGCCTTTTGAAAAGGCGTTATAACGCGAAAAAAGGCGTTATTGCGCCTTTCCAAAAGGCGTTATTACGCCTTTCTAAAAGGCGTTATTACGCCTTTCTAAAAGGCGTTATTACGCCTTTCTAAAAGGCGTTACTACGCCTTTCCAAAAGGCGTTATTATGCCTTTTAAAAAGGCGTTATTACGCTTTTAAAAAGGCGTTATTACGCCTTTCCAAAAGGCGTTATTACGCCTTTTAAAAAGGCATTAATACGCCTTTCAAAAAGGCGTTATTATGCCTTTTGAACGGCCATTATTATGTCTTTGACAGGCCCGTGCTTTTAAAGTGGGGGGGGGGGGGGTTCCCATAAAATTGACAAGCAAACAAAAAAACAAGACCCCCCCCCCCCCCCCCCCCCCCGAAAAAAAATAAACTGCCTAAACTTGAGGGGAAACTTTTTCTAATTTTTCGGTAAAAATTTTTTAAATGCAATGACTTGCCAGAGTTTAACCATAATGCAACAAAATGTTAAGGGACCAAGCAATCAATAAATGACTTTTTATATTTAAACTATAGCAAGACTATTCTCCCAAAAAGTGGGGTGGGGGACCCCCCCCCCCCCCCTCACATTCGTACTACCGGCCTGTTTGAAAAGGAGTTGTATCCAAAAATGGAAAGGCGTTATTTTAAAATAGTAAATATATGAAAGATTGAACCAAAACCATCTTTATTTATGCAATATTTAGATTATAGTTTTAATATTATAAATTATATTTATAAATATAAATATAAATTATATTATAAATATATTATAAATTATAGTATTTTCTATATTCCTGCACATCTCATATTTCTGACAAGACCTTACATTTGGTACTAACTGTTTTATCCTTGACCTTGGGTTTGACCTACTTTAAAAAAAAGTTTAACCTTGACCATGACTTTTTAATGTTTGGTTCTAGGGCTTTTATATTTCACATGCATATTTCTTTGACAAGATCTTCCTTTGGGCACTATTGATTTTGACCCTTTTCCCTGGAGTTTGACCTACTGTTATAAAACTTTAACCTTGACCCTATATAATTTGAATGGTTGGTCCTTGGGCTTTCATATTTCACAGTTGTATTCCTTGTGACTCAACCTTTCTTTGAGTACCACCATTTTTATCTTTTGACCTTGACCTTGAAGTTTCACAGACTTGCATTTAAGAAACTTAAACCTTTGTCTCGAGGTGCCATACGGAGGCATCAGTGTTTCACAAATACATCTTGTTCACAACATATTTATGGATCTCTCCAACAAATCTATGTGTGCTTTAACTAATTTTAAAATTTAAGGACACATTTCTGTTAATATCTTAAAATCATTGTTAAGGGGTACATGCTTTGATGAAGATTAAAGAATATCTTTACCAAAAGGTCCGGGATGGTTTTGAAACAACAACTGTGGATGCTTACATGACAAATAATGGCCTTGCTGTTCTTGAGATGATTTTAAAGAATTTTTCTGTATATTGATTTAACACTTTGATCCCTTATTGTGGCCCCTTTAATCCCAGGGGACATGATTTCAACATATTTAAAAATGTACTACCTAAGAATGCTTGCATATTAACATGACTAATCATGGCCTAGCTGCTTATGAGAAGGTTTTATGACTTTTTCACTTTATATTCCAGTTTTAAACTTCGATACCTTTTGTTGCCCCCTAACCCCAATCCCTGGGGCCACAAATTTGAATCTGCACTACCTGAGAACATTCGCATATTAATATGAATAATCATGGCCCTGCTTCTCTTGACAGGTTTTTTTTCCCTACATATTTCCAAGTAAACTTTATTCCCCTATTTCGGCACCCCTGGGGGCCATGATTTGAACAAATTTTAAATCTACACTATGACAGGAAACTTTCATTCTTTTCTGGTCCAGTGGCTCTTGAGAAGAAGATTTTTAAATGACCCCAACCTATTTTCTTAATTGGTTTATCCTTAATTATCTTTGAACAAACTTGAATTCCCTTAAACCAAGGATACTCTGATCCAAGTTTGGTTGAAATTGGTTCTGAAGAAGAAGTGAAAATGTTTAAAGTTGAAAAAGATGAGTGAAAAGTTTACAATGACAGCAACAACTATGGCAATTAGTTTCTTGACTACTGATGCTTTGTTCGACCCATTGTCTTACATAAAATTAAATTGTTCTGTGAGATTTCCGATAGTAGTTCCTCAGATGATTATATTTAGAACAATGTTACAGTACATCTAGTTATATTAGGCATGATCCAGGTTTATTTCTGAGGTAAAATTATCATGTTACACACACACAAAACATAAATACATGTAGTGACAGATTATTTTAATAAAATGTACATTTTGTAACAAGGAATTTAAATACATGTATCACAGTACAGTGTATACTAAAAAGACAAAAGAGAAATGTACACTAATGCTCTCTGAACGTCATGTGTAGAGGGATGAGGACAATGAACTTTTTAGTTCCACTCAACTTTCGCACACAGTGTTTGTTCATTTTGAAGTTTTATTGGCTGACATGACATCAGAGATCTGTTTAGATATTAGACTGTGTTTTGAGTGTCTGACATAAGAGATCTGTTTAAATAATAGATTGTGTTTTGATTTGCTGACATGACATCAGAGATTTGTTTAGATATTAGACTGTGTTTTGAGTTGTGAGGCAGCAGCTTTGTCTAATAGCCAGACCAGTTCCCCATTGGTCGGACGAACTCTGGCAGCAGGAAGGGGATCACCACCATTGCTCTCTAATACTTTCTGAAATACATAATTCAATAAATAATATTATCTGTGGTGAAACTGCCATTGAGAGTTTGATATCAAAATCTTGATATAACTGGCGTGAGAATATCCTAAATAATCTAAAGGAAAATTTGTAACTTTTAATTATTTGATACCTTTATTAAAAGGAAAAATATTAAACATTTCAGAATCATGAAGAAAAAATGAAAAATGATAAAGGATGAGTGATGATACCTTTACAATGTCTGCCTTTCCAGCTCCACACGAAGCAAATATAGCACACTGGCAATTATTTATCAAAGGAAAAGTCATGGTTACTCTTCTGGGGGGAGGTTTTGGTGAGTCACTGATGGGGGCAATTATCTCATCTTTTACCTGTAAATGTAAGCAAGTAGAATCCCCTCCTACACTTCACAACACACATACCTTTCAAAACTAAAGCTTTCACTGGGAAAGGGGAAGTTCATTGCAACATGAAATGTATGAGAAACATTTTGATAACCTAGTTTTATATTCTTTTTTTTTCAAGTCTATGCCCCAGATGAATTTGATGATAAACTGATGAAAAGTACTGAAAGCATGTAAAAAATCATAATTTCTGGAATGTTTCTCTAGACTGACTGTGATTTATGCAGACTGATTTCACATTTTGAGTAACTTTTATTGCATGTGTACAGACCTGTAGAAGAGAATGACTGGGAAAGAGTGAACATGTGTGTCCATCTGGCCCCATTCCAAGGAGGAGGAGGTGAAAACGAGGAGTAGCATCTACCCCAAATACCCCCAGGATCTTATCTCTGTATTCCTTAGCTGCATCTTCCACTACAATGCAGATCCAATATAAAATCATCTCTAAATTCAATTTTATAATGCAAATCAGTTATCAGGACAGCTGTTCTTAATATACACATTACAATAAAGATGTTGATTTCAATGTCATTGTATTTAAATGAGCTCTCAATAACAGGAAACTAACAGGGGAACCACAAGGAATATCATATGTTGTGCTAAAAAAATAGATGGGTGAGCCAATAGATGGACGAAGAAAGTGTCTTCTTGCAGTGAGGAATATCTCTATTCTTAATATTCTAACACTGTTCTCCTTTTAAACTTTTCACATCTCAGTGATAAAATGTATGAAAGACATATTAATTAATATATTACCTTGAAATTAGGGTTGTGCAATTGAATTCGTACAATGGTATATCGTGATGTTTTATTGAGTGATATATATTGTGATACGGAGACTAGAATACCAGTATTTGGTACATGATTATAAAATCTGGAAATTATTCATTTATTTATTCAAACTTTTGAATTCAAAATTCATTTCAAATCATAGTAACTGTAAAAATTGTGAAAATATCATGATATTAACATGATATTTTGGGAGAGAATAGTGATATTATATAGTGAAATTTTTGGCAATACAATGTACCCATCTCTACTTGAAATATTAAGCAGTAAAGGGAATGTATATAATTTTAACATTACTTTATTCAATACAAACATGATTTACCTGGGATGTCAGGGTTGATAGGAAATATGTTTTCTCCAGGAAGTGGTCCTCCATTGTCTACTAATTTAGATTTGTAGATGGTATAGGTACACTCAGGATCTGTGTATGGAACATGTCTCTCATCACAGAAGAACACCTGCCATTTACTCCAGTCTGTCTGTCTACCGGGTAAACCATTACACAGAAACTTGGCCATACTTCCTCCTGAAATAAAGTTTCCAAATTAAAACAATGGTTACTTAAATAAGTTATATTCCTCTCATTCAGCCTGTAATAATTTACCTGAGAAAAAAAATAAATTGAACACTGTTTTTCAATCAGTTTTGATTTGCATAACTTAAATAATTCTCTAAACTTTTGAAATTTACAGAGTATATATATATAGAGCAGCATTTGTTGCTTTGTTCAGAATAAGAACTTGTATATACATCCCTGCATGTACAGGGCTTCATATCCATTGTATCTAAGTCTGCTAAAAGGACCCTGTTCTAATTGAAAATTTACTCTTTTTCCCCCAAAGTTTAGGTAAAAATTCCCAAATGACAAGCAAATTGAAACTTTCAGTGCTCTTTTTCAAAAATAATTTGAATTTTGAGATAATAATACCTCATAAAGATGTAAATAGGGCATAAGTCTACAATCTAATTCTTTAGTCAACAGTGAAACATTATACAAGTCATCAATATTTCCAAATTTGTCACTTTTTCAATTTAAAATTCCCAACTGAAAGCCCCAAGGGTACAGGATCCAGTGCCAAAAAGGGTCAATTAAGCCTTGACATAATTTGTGACAGCATGCACATCACTAGGACATCACTAGTAATAAGCTTTCAATTAATTGTTCAGTAGTGTATACAGTAAGGCCTTACACCTACTTGCCCCAAGGTAGTTCATGAGTTATAATCAGTAGATTGGTGGACTTTAAAACTGACAATTCTAAGTTCACATATTCACATAGTCAGTAGATTGGTGGACTTTAAAACTGACAATTCTAAGTTCACATATTCACATAGTCAGTAGATTGGTGGACTTTAAAACTGACAATTCTAAGTTCACATATTCACATAGTCAGTAGATTGGTGGACTTTAAAACTGACAATTCTAAGTTCACATATTCACAAAGTCAGTAGATTGGTGGACTTTAAAACTGACAATTCTAAGTTCACATATTCACATAGTCAGTAGATTGGTGGACTTTAAAACCAACAATTCTAAGTTCAAGTCACATATTGAAAACCCCCAGATTATCAGTTGAAATTAAATATCACTACTTGATTGGGTAAAAAGTGACTAAAGTCATCCCAAAGAGCATATGCGCAATTAGCAGCTTTGTTAGCTTTTTCCTTTTTTTAAAAAAAAAATTATACATGTTCTTATAATGGGATCACTGAATTGAAATGTCATTCAATTTATGGATCCTCTATCTTAATGCAAGATTTCAGTGACATTTCAATAAAAAAGAAAGTCTGGCAAACACTTTTCGGAAAATGTTATGCATTCATTTACATTCCTCTGTCTGTTTGCTTACAAAAATTGAAAAATAATCTTATGCAATAAAAAAAAAAACAACAACAATGTTGTAGAGTAAATTTGAATTAACATCGGGTTCGGAATGATTCTCTTCCTAGTTTAATTGAACTCTGTAGTTTTACTCATTTAGCTGTATAATGCAGACAAAACGTTCGTTTTAAGCTACCTGAAAGTCCAACTGTAAATTTTCCATCTTTTTCAATTGCAGAGTTTGCCTTGTCAACCACTAGGTCGCAGAGTTTAGTCGATACTTCAGTTTCCGATTCCAAGACAGTCACCATAGGCGCTGCCATCTTGAATAAATCTCTAAAGTTTTGCACCAATTATAGAATTAAAATTTGGTGACATTGTGTGCTACTTAATAGTTTATTATGGATTCCAATTTTATTTGGGCTATAAAAAATGGAGAAATTGCATGAATTGATCGTGAACTGATTAAATAAAAACTGTGAAGTAATGTTGTCAGTTAGAGATTAATCTTTCATTTCCGGTTAAAACATTAAACATGGCTGATGTCTTGAGCAATTTGAGACAATATAACATCAACAAAAAGGAGATAAAAGAAGAAGATGATCACGTTGTATTTGGAGAACTTGCGTGGCCCAAGACTGTCAAGACAAATTATGTTATCTATGGGTAAGGAAATCCAATTTTGAGATAAAGGCGAAGAGACTGCAAACCGAAATAAGCATATGCAGCTGATCTAACGTTACATTTTATCAGCTTAATACTAATTTTCATGACATAACTTTTTAAAAAGCAGTTTGCTTTTCATTTTCAGTACTGGTAAAGATGGAATTCCCAAGGAATATTATACCTTAGACTGTATTCTATTTCTGCTGAAAAATGTGCAACTGCAGCACGCACTTTATGTCAGAGAGGCCGCAGTAAGTACACTGTACCCTATAATACTTTGTCAGGATAAAATCAGCAAGTGAGGAATTGTTTATAGTTACTTCTGTATGTCAATATAAAATGTTCTCTTCTGGAAGACAAAGAAGTATGAAAACTGTGTAACATACAGTTAACTAGATTTAAATAAATTTGCATATGTTAAAAACTCAGTAACTTATTAAGCTCTATAAAATTCTAATGAACTATTAGTTATGTAGGATTATGCTTTTGTAGGCTAAAGGTGTACCAGTAGTGCGTCGACCAGACAGAAAAGACTTGCTCTCCTATCTAAATGGAGAAACATCATCTTCAGCAAATATTGACAAAAGTGCTCCCCTGGAAATTCCCTTACAAAAACCTCCTCAAGGTATTTATATGTATTGCAAAATGAAGTTCTTTATAAAAATAAAAAAGAAATAACTTTAAAAATTGGACCTAATATGTTGATTGTGCAACAATTGGGCAAGCGCAATGGTGCAACCATTGGACAAAAAGCATTTAATCTACTATTGATCTACAATTTCTGTTTTTTTTTAAAAAAAAAAAAGAAAGTTACATATTTTGAACTTTTCTTTGGTTATTGTGAGAACATGAGTCAAAGAACAGTACTGCAGTTATGGAAAAATGGTCTGTTTGTGGTGCATTGTGGGTCCAGAGGTTACTGCAGAAAAAAATCATTTGGATCAATGTGAACAGTCTGAATTTTCTCTTCCCAAGAGGTTTTGCTTTAAGAGTTCACTATTGATTGATTTTAGCCATAAGTTTTTCCATGGATCCAGTGTATTTTAGTATATCCTATTAGGAAATCTTTTTATATCACAGAACTTGTGGATTTTATCCTTGAACAAAGCGACACCTTACACCGCAGAGCTATACAATTTTTTCAGCTTCTGGATAGTCATAGGCTCGTAGAAGACATGCTTTGGCACAAAATAAAATGAGAAAAAGATCATGAAAGTGTACAAAAATGAGAACAAAAGTTTGAAGAAAAGGAAAAAAGTTATGAGAGATTAAGTCCTAAATGCTTCATCCAGCTTGTTGAAATGGCTTATAGTCTCAAGAATATTTTCACAATTTCAACTCAATGAATAAAGTTGTATGCATGTCAACATTCAGAAATGCTTTTTTTTCTTCACTGAATCATAATATTTTAGTTTTTAAAAGTCCTATTGTTTATTTGATAGCCAAGAGAGGAGCCACAGACACACATGAGGGGGACAAAAAGAAACCAAGACTGGAGGTAAAATATTCTAACAAAAATGGTAGTAAAATATTTTCTGAAAGAAGAAAAAACTTTTTTATTTATTTCCTTATTTTTGATTGCCATTTTCTTATTCATGAAAATATTGTAAAATTCATGTATGAGAATTAGGAGCAAATAAAAAGAAACAAACAGTGTCTCATTCTATGCAATATTTATTCATTAGGAAAAACAAGTACAGGAAGCCAGATTGAACTGGATCAACAAAATTGACGCACCGAGGGAGCATTCTGTCCTTCCAGCAGCTCTAGCGTATGTCCTTATGTAAAAACATACAGAAACAGGGAAATATTTGTCCCAATATGTAAATTAGAAATGGGGTAATTAAAGATGTGAAATAGATTTCGATGAATGTAGAATGGGCAAATTATTGTTTTATATGTTTTATGAACAAAAATATCATGTTTGTTTGAAATGTTTATTCCGTAAAACCCAATCTGTTCATTGTAGTTCTTCCTCCTTACCAGAAGCAATGCCTCTGGAAAAGATTGCAGCCATCAAGGCCAAAAGATTGGCAAAAAAGCGAACCATGATTAAAGTGGATGAGAATGACATTCAGTCTGGGGCCTTGGAACAAAGAAGTTTTGTGGATGCTGAAGTCGATGTGACTCGAGATATCGTCAGTAGAGAACGATTGTGGCGAACTAGAACAACCATTCTACAGAGTCAGGGAAAAGTATGTGTGATAGGCTTAAACATATTTAACATAAATCATAAATGCTTGGAAATTGTGTTTATGACAGCTTTTCATGAATGTATAGTACTATATATGGATATTAATCACATTGACTTTAGACTTTTTTCAACTTTTATGATTTAGTATCACTTTTAAAATAAGCTATTTTTGGACTAAACTGCTTTGAACATAGGCCATTCAGTTTAAAGAGCTTAAAAATAAGACTAATGCATGAATAGAAAGCTGCTAGATAGTAGAATCAACTGAGACTTTAATGCATGTTACTAAAGAAATATGTCCTAATTTGTATTCTTACTATTCAGCAATTTGCAAAGAACATATTTGGAATTCTCCAGTCTATAAAGGCTAGAGAAGAAGGCACCCAAAAACATCACCCAGCCCCCCACACACCATCAGTGGTGAGTTCAGCTTGAGCTTCTTTCAAGTATTCTCTATATTAAGAACTGAATCCAGATATTTTGTTAAATTGCACATTTTTTTCCCAAAAGTTGTAATTAAAGTTTATGAACAGTTACATTGTTATTCCTTATTTTTAAGGCCCTAGCCTGACCTCCACAGTCAATTATTGTTACATTGTAATGTCTTGTTTTTAAGGCTCCAGCCCGACCTCCACAGCCAGTTGTTGGATATAATAGATACAATCAGGAATCATTCAAAAGCAAAGAAGGTATGAATAAAAACAAAATATATTGATGTTTATTTTAAATCCATTCATAAATCTCTTAAATCAAAAGTAATATTGTCATGTTACTCTTTTAATCACAGAAATAAATTTTATCTACATGTTCATGTATATTCTAAATAGTTTTAAAAAGATATGAACTTTGATATACATGTAAATTTTAAGTATTTTTTTTTGGGGGGGGGGGGGGAGGGGAGGGGAGGGGGTGTCTGTGTAAATTGTACTTGATCATATTGCCAGGACCTTCATAATCCAAGCATTTTATTTATAAAGTATTGTATTCACAGACACCGGAGAGTTCCAGATTGATACAAACAGATCTTACCATGGGATGACCCTCAAGTTTGTGACAGAGGGTGGACCATCACAGAAGAAACGGCCTGAGCCACAAAGACAGCAACCACAACCACTGCAACCAATGTCACGGCCAGTCTCACAGGCCAGGCCTCCACCCAATCAGAAAAAAGGTTAGTAAAAACCACAACTAACACAGACAATGTTACAACCTGTATCACTGGCCAGGCCTCCACCCAATCAGAAAAAAGGTTAGTAAAAACCACAACTAATACAATGTCACAAGCAGTCTCACAGGCCAGGCCTCCACCCAATCAGAAACAAGATGAGTTTGTGAAACACTGTTGCCCCGTATGGCAACTTATAGCGAAGGTTAAACTTTCTCAAATGCAAAACAAATATGTTGGTACCCAAAGTAAGGTCTTGTACCAAGGAATATACCTGTGAAATATGAAAGCCCTAGCAGCAACCATTGAAAAGATATGGAAAAGGATAAAGTTTTTCAAAAGTAAGTCAAACATCAAGGTCAAGGTCAAAATTAATGGTGCCCAAGGAAAGGCCTTCTCACAAGTAATACACATGTGAAATATGAAAACCCTAGCACAAACCATTTAAAAGATATGGCCAAGGTTAAAGTTTTTCAAAAGTAGGTTAAACCTCAAATACCCTGTCAAAGGGTCAAAGCTGTTGGTATCCTAAGTAAGGTCTTTTCACAAGAAAGAAGAAATGGCCAAAAGAAATGGCCAAGGTTAAAGTTTTCCAAAAGTAGTTAAAACTCCAAAGTCAAGGTCAAAGGGTCAAAGTTGTTGGTATCCAAAGGAAGGTCATGTCACAAGGATTACACATGTGAAATATGAAAGCCTTAGCATCAAGCGTTCAAAAGTTATAGCCAATGTTAAAGTTTTTCAAAAGTAGGTCAAACTCCAAGGTAAAGGTCAAAAGGTCAAAGTTGATGGTATCCAAAGAAAGGTCTTGTCACAAGGATTACACATGTGAAATATGAAAGCCCTAGCATTTAGCGTTCAAAAGTTATAGCCAATATTAAAGTTTTTCAAAAGTAGGTCAAACTCAAAGGTCACGGTAAAAGGGTCAAAGTTGATGGTATCCAAAGAAAGGTCTTGTCACAAGGATTACACATGTGAAATATGAAAGCCCTAGCTTTTAGCGTTCAAAAGTTATAGCCAATATTAAAGTTTTTCAAAAGTAGGTCAAACTCAAAGGTCACGGTCAAAGGGTCAAAGTTACTGGTATCCAAAGAAAGGACTTGTGACAAGGATTACACATGTGAAGTATGAAAGCCCTAGCACCAACCGTTCAAATGTTATGGCCAAAGTTAAAGTTTAGAAAAATTTTGTAAAACTGGGTCAAACTCCAAGCTCAAGGTCAAAAGGTAAAATATGAAGGTACCCAAAGTAAAGTCTTGTCACAAGGAATACACATGTGAAATATGAAAGCCATAGCTCCA